ACTTATTTCGACGTAAATCACAACAACACACTTTTTTAATAAAGCAAACAAGTGTACGTGTAAACTACAATTACAAAAAATTGATATGAAACCCATGAAACCACCAACAAAAATGTAAAGCTAGCTTCCGTACTAGAACATTGTGTCATTCGTCGAGATAATTTATCGTTTTGTTTAATAGATCAAGAAATGTAAATATTCCCCTGTTATTTTTTATAAAATTATAAGAGAAATAAATTTTTTTCTAAATAGTATAGTTTATTATTTTGTAGAAAAACAAAATTTCGAAAATTTTAGTAATGTTTCAGAAACAACCGTTATTAATAATAGGTACCATTTTCCTTAATAAGGTAGAAATTAAATATAAACTATTTCCACGATTTACAAAGGCCTACAAAAAAATTATAGGTATTTTCCGCTATCCTATAAAATTTATATTTTCTGACTCAATTTCAAAAGGTTGAAGGAATTCCAAAACACCTCTTATGGCATAATAATTATTTTCAATTCTACATACTATCTTTAGCTGCTTTTAAAAACGTTCTAAGAAAGTCCAATCAGACCAATTTAATCCCTAAACTATTCCACACTTTTAAAATTTAATTACCTAAAAATATTAAAAACTATTTAAAATAACTTGTTTAGCAGACTGTATAATAGCTATCTTAGTCACACGTAGCGCGTTCTCTGTCTGAGCGTCGAACACCTCTAGAAATTTGATGAACTGTAATTTTGGAGAAGAAAATAAATAGTCTTGACAGTATTTTTTTAGGCAACCCTTACTTTGGATCTTATATATAATGAAGAAATTGGGGGATCTGACCTGTATATAAATGTACAAAAAAAATTCTATTTCTTGCAAAATTGTTAAAATTGGCCAACTTTAATAAAAATATAAAACAAATAAAAGTTTTTTTTGTTGCTCAAAGTTGCGTGCAGTCGTTACCCTTTTTTGGCTCCTTTTAGTCTATATACAGTGTGAGTATTTAAATTTAAAACTTCAAATTATCTACGTTAAGCAACGTTTAGACAAAAAATACCGATAAACGTTAAATTTAAAATTCAGTTTTGCTTTTACTTTGGATTACGATCACTATGCGTATGTCATAATGACGTCGTGATGAGACCATCTATTTTTTTAAAGTAAAAACCTCTATTTTTATGTCAAATTTAATTACACCGTTTGATTCTAAAAACGATAATATGTACATCTGTATTTTTAGTAATGAATATTCGTGAATATTCGTGACATTTTAGACGTAAGAGTAATGTGACTGATGACGTGCAACGGGATTTGTATTAAAAATATTATATTTAATATATACAATACACGATTCTCAATACTATTAATACTGTAATTATACTACCCATGAACCATAAATATCGTTGAAAGAACATTCCAATTTATTCATGAACAGCAAAATTAACGGCCCCGCATCCTATCATTTTTATTCTCGATTACAAAACCAATTTAACTTCCGTAATCCCTAATTTCGTATCGCAAGTTTTCTCGATTGACCGAAAAATACATTACACGGCCATAAAATATTGCCGAGTTAGCTAAAGTCTAAAGATTTCGAAAAGGAATATTTAATAATATCTATCGTTACTTGAAAGTCTAAGATGAAGATGAAATATTCAAAGTTTAAAAGAGAAGATTATGGTTGAAACAAATTTTTCCGTTGAAACAAAATGGTTTGCCGTCGCAGTAAATGCAATGTACTAGGATCGGCTAAAAAGTGAATCAAATAATACAATTTTGAATCGGTAAATAGAATAAGAAAAAATGTGTTCAATAATTGTAAATTCAATTGATTCCGGTTCCAAACAGTAGTGATAATTCAACCTCAAACTTTCCCTCTCCTTCTTTATTAGCCTCGCCTCCAAGCTTTTCCTTCTTATATTTGGTAATATTTTATTTTTCTAGTCAACATTCATGTATGTATAAAGTAGATAGACGGTAAGTAAAGTGAGAACAAGGATAGATATCATGTTTCTCATCGAAATGACTTACCAATAGGTACATAATAGTGAAATTGCCTTGCCATGTAACTCGTACCACGTGTTATAACATTTAATTAGAGAAAATTGTGGCCCGGCTGGGCAGTGGCCGAAGGGCGTATAGATAGAGATTATTTGGGTTAATCGTGATATAATTCGAAATCGATTATAGGCCTGTAATGTCAACCCTAAAATCTATTAAGTCAATAGATATTAGATACAGTTAGATATTTGAAAAGGGAATTATCAAGGGTAATATAACGAGACCTTGATAAATAGTCGACTATTTTCATTGTATCTAAATTTTGAGTGTTTTTGGTACCAATTTGTCGAGACATAATTTTGTCATTAATAATCTGAATAGAGTCCGAGAGCTTTAGCTCGAGGACTTTATTCTTTGATTATTAATGGCAAAATTGTCGAGATAAATTGCAAAATACACGAAAAATTTAGTAACAATAAAAATAGACGCTAATTTTTTAAGGTCGATATATATTTAGTAAGAATATTTCTAGAACCCTAGTTGTAACTAAAAAAAAACAATAAATAAATACACATGAAAATAACTTTTATTTCATAAATTAGAAAAAATTAGTTAAAGTTAAAAGAACAATTATTCTAAGTGACATTTCCAGTTTGCATAATTTGGGAAATTCATCCTGCTTTTGACGAAGTAGCGGTATTCATGGTAGCAGTAGAAACTTGACTTTCTTCTACCGGATTAAAATCAGTATTCACAGAAGTGAAAGCTTGACTTTTTGTATGTCCTCGAAGTTGGTTAATAACACTTTGATGATGCTAGTCATCCATCTGTAAGTATGGTTGAATAGATGAACTAGAATGCCCAGTTTTTTTATTCAATTTTTGCTACGGTACACCTGATTTTGCAAGTTGAGAGACTGCTGTCGAGCAACTAGAATGGTTAGTGATCTTTAAACGCTTGGTGTCTAATCCAATAGACTCCGCACCCAATTTGGTCCATTTAGAAAACTCATTCTTTCCAATAGGTAAATTTTTGTGCCAGAAAGAGTTAATATTTTGCCAAAATGGATTTGGAGTTGGAAATATTTCTTCACTATTAACAAACCAAATCGGTTCATTTTAAACGTTTCACTAATATATTAATTTTTAGTCTGACACTTAATATTATTTGACATTAACTACTTTTAATATTACACCTACAATCAAGTATGCGAGTTGCTATCAACATAGGCACAGGATTTTCTTCTGTGACATAGGTGAATATCGAGCACCATATATGGATAGTCGATTTCAACGATTTCAACGATAACGTAAATTGCGATGTGATTGGTTAAAATTTCAAATCTGACAGGCGAGGGAAATAATCAATAAATATTTAAAACTTAACTATCTATGATACTAGTTGACACTGGTTGTTACACTGGTGACAGCGGTGTTTTTTGATAGTATTTCACTGGTAGGAAAGAGGGGAGAAAGGGCCGAAATCACTAATCTTGAATAGTACATTTTCTGGAGTTTTGTAATTTTCGGGAGACTTATTTAAAAAGAATTAAATACTTCAATGTTTTTCTCTTTGGGTATAATGTAATAATTGGCTTTATTTTAGTAAAAATCCACTGAATACACAAAAATTCTAAATTCAATAAATGTTTTAACTAAATACAATAAACCTAGGTTGTTACTCCAATTGATGCCTTACATTGAACCAGAATTCTCCAAGATAATAAGTTGATATTCTTAAAAATAATAATTAAATTGTCACGTAAGATTTTGATTTAAATAGAGAGTTGATAGTCAAAAGAAGAGATACTTGAAAGTAAGGGCTGTGCCCGAAACTCTGGCCGAAAAGCCATTTTAGCAGTAACCACCGTGCCTTCAAAACTCTATGTTCCGAAGCACCTTATTTTGAATAGTAAAATTTTTTGCAACAAATTTATGTGGTAGAGGTGAGCGAAAACATATCTTTAGTTATTCAACATGTTGTTTAACATTGTTGTTTGATTTAAGACAATTTATTATTATCAATATGAATGCCAATTTTTCAATTTTTTGTCCCAAGCTTAATTTTATTATACATATAAAGGGTGTTTATAATTGAGTGACGATACTTAAGGGTGTAAATCCTTTGGTGATTTTTAGAAGAAAAGTTAATATCAACATATGTCGTAAACCTCTTAATTTTTGAAATACAGGATGTTACAGTTTTAAGAAGAAAATCATCATCATAATTTTCTTATCACTCAGATATTTTTATAAATGTTTGTATACATCTTTTAATCATTAAGGAGCATTTTATGACGTAAAATATTTTTAAATATTTACCAGTGACGTTCCTACTGGGTTTGAACTGAATGTTTTTGGTTGGTATTCTGGTAACAAACAGTGGTTTTTTAGCCTACACATATTTCCAGCTAATTTAGTCTTAACACATGATAAATATTATATTTATAACGAAAGCACAAGAATAACTTAAATAAACATTAAATGAAACTCAAAAATGCTATTATACTGATAATCATATCTAAATACAGTTTAAACAAAACAAAAATTCAGAAGCCCGTCACAAAACTAACAATGTAAATAAACAAATAATTTACTTACATGTGACAAATGACAGGCGTGCGTAAATTAATTTGGATCGCGAATAGTAGACAGTTTGTAGTTGACATTTGACGGTTGATAGACAAAACATCATACTAGTTAACACTGGTTGTTGCTAGAGACCAACATATTATAGTATAGTAGACAGTGCAGAGTTGGCATTAAACGGTTGACAGGCGATAGATCGTAGAAGACAACCGCATACAATAATGTAGACAACAATTGCGAAATAAATCTATACTATCTTTTTCTAGATCATTACAAGTACTTTTACTTACACCTTCAGATAATAAATAACTTAAAACTAATGTAATTGCCAGCTGACAGATTGATATGACAGCTGACAAATATAAGTGATATATCACTAATTATTCTATTAGGCCACTCTGTTTAAATATGTTTTCTTTTTGTTACAGTGGATGGAATGGAGTTGGAGACTCTTTACCAAAGATATTGCATCCGTTTGAAGCACGCTCTTTACCTGTCCTGCCTGACAATAGCTAGCATGACTAGCGCTGGTCTACTCATAACCATCTGTGTGTTGCATATTCAGGTAATTAGTAGATTACGATTTCCACGGTGTAATTAGTAAATAGCAATTTTATTTGAACTTTTTTCATTATTTTATTGAAATGTTCTAAATACGTTTATTCTTGCTCTTGTTGAACAAATAAAGAACTGCGCATCCAAAAATATTCAATTCGTTTCGATACTAAACAACCTTAACCCCACAATCAACTCTGTCGAGTTGTTTGTGGCTAAATTAAAACGAGGCAAACATCATTGTTACACCCTTCCCGAATCTTGAAAGCCATAATACACAAAATTCCCCAGAGTTAATAAACTCCACTCATAATTAACATTCTATTTGAGGGGGTTCCCGTCTAATTACAAACTAAAATACTCTGTAACACAACACAGGGGCGATGAAGGGGTCGTGGCAAAGGGGGAAGTTACAGAAATGAGGAATCCCTGACTATAAAAGCGTTTATTTCACGGTAGTGATTCCCGTAGCGGCACACTGACACACCGGTCTGGGTTTTACGACATAGTTTAGTTTAGTGTTATATCACTATATTAAAACAGGTTGGAATATATCTATACGCTAATTCATTGGTCTGTAGGCTCATCGTTATGTCTCTCTGCATGAGCTAAATTCCTGTAGTTATTATTAATAATAATAATGTTTATTTTACTTCTTACATATTTTTTTTACAAATAAATTCTCTTATAATGTAAATAAACATGGGTTAGTCCGAAAAAACCATAAGATTGTGCTAGGAAATTACTCCTGTTTATTAGTAGCTCCATAGTTGCTGAAAAAATTAATAATTATAACAATAGACATAAATAATTTTTGGAACACACAACTACGTTGTACTAAAGCTTTTGACAATAAATAAAATTAATATATGATACGCCTATTTTGAATAGAAGTTAATTAGCAATATAATCAACGTTTCGGGAGTAATTACAAAATCAACAGATTGAATACAACTAATGTCGTCTAACATCCTAATATTTTAATCGGCATTACTACGAGAAGCAATAAATCTCACGATAAAATAAAAAAACGGGCTAGCAGATCTGTGATATCATCGATCTCCGATTAAAGGATTATTTTAAAAGGGATGCGGTTAATACAGTTGGTACAGTGACAGATAATAAAGCAACGTTATCTCATGATCAACGGTATGGAGTGAATTAAAAATTTCACTGATTGACGGAGTAGTGGTGGGTTTATTGACCCGGAGTACCTTGGATATTGAGAATTTAAGTCGGCGAAATAAGTCTGTGCGATCACTAGACTTGATTCGCTTACGAACTTTAGAAATCACAAAACGGTATGTTGTTTAAACGCTATTAACGCTAAAGGCTTACGTAAGAAAATTCACAAATTTGGCACGAAAGAGAAAGAATTCGCAGGTATCTCAGCTTTATACTTTACGCTCGGACTAGTTCAGTTTACGAGTGGTTCGGAGTTGAAGTAGCCAGTGTTTACCAATCGGAGGACTGAAAAATGTCCTTCTGACATTTGCAAAAATGAGCAGATAATTTACCTTAATTTAGGCGTTCCAAGCTTGATTCGATTTTCAATAAAGGAAAATTTGGTGACATCATCACACGGTAATTAGTCACAAATCCCCTATCGAAGATGACATACGACCAGCGACTGAGACGACGGCGACAGCGAGGTAGCTCTGCAGTAACCAATCTAGGTCGCATTAGGAAGGGCTTTAAAAGTAATAAAACAGAACCGTCTGCATTTTGAAAAAACAAAAAATTACTTATCAACGATATTAATTATTTTAAAATCCGTTTCTTTTAATGGTTGTCAACACCTTCATGAGATGGAGGATAAATGCATTTAAATTTATTATCCCACATCATATGGTGAGGAGATTTTCCGTGTTTTCCTCACATGTAAGTCAAATAGCACCATCAATAATCTTTAAGTCGCCCTGGAACGGTACGGCAAATAATAATGGTCGTCCCTTCCACAACACAAGCTCAGTCGGCTAAAGGAGGTGAAATTCACTCGTAAGAGGTAAATTAGGGAGAGTATTATATATTGATTTAAAAAAAAATATTGATTTAGCTTAGGTAATCATTACATTTTAATTTGATAACTTTTATGTATAACTTATTAACCTTTATGAACCCTTATGGATTTTTCAAGTGATAAGACATCACTGGAGAACAGCCAAAATGTTTCCGAATCCAAAATAGCAAAATTTTACTTATTTTATTAACAATCTGTTATTCAAACGTCTTAGTTGGTTCCGGTTTTATAGATCCATGCTAATTGTATTTTTCCATCTGTTCCCAAGGTATGGCAAAATGTGACCATTAAATGAGAAACACCTGAGTTTAATATACCATTATAAGGGGTCTTCCCTTCATCAGAGGCAAACGATGTAAATAAATACATGTGCTTTATGTTCAGGTTAGTTCAGCATAATTCCTAGTGTGCCAGAGGGCAATCCGACGGGTTTAATAGCAATGCCTGACCAATGGGAGCGATACACGTAACGATTACGTGATATAGTTAGTGGTATTTCACATACCAATTGAACAAGAGGTATTCGTATTTGAAAAGGTAGAGCTTTGACCAACATGTCGCAAGCTTGTGTAAATAAGCCGGATTATTTTTGTTATATATGTAGTGAAGTGACTTTTGTGAAACCAAAATTTGAATAATAAATAAAAAATCTTACCACTTGTTTTTTCTCTGCAAAGTTGGAGACCAGGATAAAACTTGGGCTCTTCATATCTGCTGTTACAAATGTTCGTCCAACATTCGCGGCTGAAAAAGTGGCGAGAACCGAAAGACCACGTAACAGACTGTTACTTTTGTTTGACAACTCCCATCAAAAAAGGTTTTTCGGAGAAAAAAAGGTCTGCAATAGAGTATCCAAATTTACAGTCCGTCATACGCCCGGTGCCTCATAGTGACGAGTTATCTGTACCTGATCCACCACGGCAGTATACCCTTGATTCTGACGTTAATGAAACGGATTCAAATGGTAGTGTGCCCGAAAATATTTCCGGCCCATCAACCTCACAAGACTGTGATTTTATCTGTGAACAGTAAAGAGCCTCACAAATTAAGTCAAGTATTATTAAGTGGCCTTATAAGAGATTTAGAATTGCCCAAGAAAAAAGCAGAACGATTGCAACAATGGAATTTACTTACAATATGAAGTAAATGTTTCTATGTACCGAAGCCTTCAGAATAAGTCAACACGATTTTTTAACATGGCTTACAATTTGGTAGCTTGTAGGAACATTGAGGGATTAATGGTAGCTTTAAATCTTGACTATGATCTAAAAGACTGAAGTCTTTTCATCGATTCGTCAAAAGTAAGTCTCAAAGGTGTATTGCTCCTATGAAGACTAGAGATAAGGAGGCGAATCGGCATACTCAAAATACGGTCCCAATAAAGGCATGCTAATTGAGCTTCTATAATTAATCGCATGGGCGCTGGTACTGCATACGGTGTTCAAAATACATGGCTTCTTATGGGAATTATACATAATTTTGTCAAAATAATAAAAATAAATTTGTTTATAGCTAAATAAAGCACAGAACATACTGTTGTATTTATTTCTAAATAAGTCTTGCATGTTTTAATTGATAAATTATTTAATTTTATCTATATAAAATACAAATTGGGTATGTATGACCAAATTCGAAAAGGTTTCTTAAATGCTGAAATTTGATAAGTACAATTTTGTGGCAAATTTTTTTTAAATTGAACCAATATATAGTCTTAAGAGTAAAATAAAACACAGTTAACAGATTTTTTATTGTTGTAAGACAAGTATAAAGGGAGATTTGGGAATGTACATGGTATTACCTCATCCTTTAATTTCAGCTTTCCCTTTTTTATTTTGCTAACAGTACCATCAGTAAAAATAGTCTCATAATATTTGATATTTTCTAAAAAGTATAGAACAGCATCATCTCTAGAAAATGCTTTGTCGGCACTAGGAACGGTATATTTACTACCACTGTTCTAAACGTTTAGTATTTATCCCATAAAAAACATTTACAATGACACCATTGTGGTCCAAAAAAAAAAATAACAGTAGCAACTCTTTATCTAACATTAAAACTCTATAAAAAATAAATTTTCTTTTCTAGTAAGTTAAATTTAATGCATAATTATTAAGTCAGCATCTATGACTGTAAAATTTTATATTATAGAAACTTGTAATAAAATAAACTACACTTCGTAAAATACATATTGTGACTAGTTTACAATAAATATTATATTTAGACATGAATACATTATTTTACTTACATTAGAAGCTTTAAAAATACATTGAATTGATTTCTTCTCGTGTTTTACAATCTGGAACGACGTAAATCTTGCTTTGATGTTTTTTGTCACTCATGTTACTTGTACTCAGGTACTTTTCTTCACATTATTTTGATTCTTTTCACCAATTTTTTAAAAAATCACTTTATTTTACATTGACTTACATGGAAAATTGACATCGCTGTCATTCGACATGCCAACTACAGTCAATTTCGCGAACTTTATAAAAAGGAGGACTGAAATTTGAAATTTGACCATTGCCGATTCGCCTCCTTCTCTCTAGTCTTCATAGTTGCTCCACAATGGAAACAAGTTGCCGTCAGTCCCAGTTGGCCATGCAGTTGACATGAAAGAAAGTTATAGCAATTTAAAGTTAGTACTGGAGACCATAAAGTATGAAAAACATAAGTGGCAAATTTGAGGGAATTAAAAGTTGTGGTGATTTTGCTTGGAATTCAGTTAGGTCATATCAAATACTGCTGCTTCCTTTGCGAGTTGGACAGTCGCGAATGATCAGATCACTACAGAATGAAAATTTGGCCCCCAAAAGTGTCTTTTGAACCAGGAAAAAAATGTAGCAAGCGTACCATTAGTCCCTCTAAAAAAGATTTTATTACCGCCACTTCATATAAAGTTGGGGTTTATCAAAAACTTCGTAAAGGCCATGAATAAAAAAGGCCGTGCTTTTATTTATTTAAAAGAAAAGTTCCCTAGAATCAGTAACGCT